CCTTTCGCCATTAAAACCAGAAGATCAATGCTAGTCCTCACGCCGATGAAGGCCATGGCGACGAGGTTTGCGCACAATGATGAAGATCTTGGGTATCCCTCACGCTGATGAAGACGTTATCCCCTGGAACAGGTTTGCTCTTAGTTCCATTAGCTGTGGGTGAATGCATGTGGCTCTTTTCAATGAGCTTGTACAATAAAAAAATAGTTAAGATTGATAGGTGCGTGGAATACAATCAATTCAGGTACATCAATGTGTGAATCACCTAGGAAGGCATGCGAATGCTGGTGGAGATAGTCCTCTGGCTTACGTTAACACTGTATAGCTATACAGTGTAAACGTAAGCCAGAAGACTATCTCCACCAGCATTCGCATGCCTTCCTAGGTGATTCACACATTGATGCAGCTGAATTGATGGTATTCCACGCACCTATCAATCTTAACTATCTTGTTATTGAACATGTTCATTGAAGGGAGCCAGTTATATTCACCCACGGTTATGGGACATATAGTAGAGACAATGGTAATACATGCTGTAGTCATCGTGTATTCAAGCTTATTTGTTGAGTTTACGGGGTTGTTTTTTTGGTAGGGGTGTAAGCAAGCTTGTAAAGGACGTGTCAGGATACATTGTCAGGCTTATTGATTGGTTGTTAAAGTTGACGACCTGTTGTCAGGCTTATTGATTGGTTGCTAAGGTAGACGACCTATTATCAGGCTTATTGATTGGTTGTTAAAGTTAGCGCTCTGTTGTCAATCTTTATGTATTGGTTGCTAAGGTTAGCTATCTGTTGTTGAACTTGTGGAATCATAGCTAGCATTAGCTCCTTGTTGTAACGTTTAGCTCTACTGTATAGCTTATTGGTTGAGAAGATCACGGGGTGAATTGATAAGCTTATGGTTTTGTTGTTAAGATCGTGGATTGGTTGTCAAGCTTATGGATTCCTTAACAATAGGGTTAGCACCCTGTTGTTAAGGTAAGTTGTTAATTATCAAGCTTATGTATTGGTTGTTAAGGTTAGCTATCTGTTGTCAAAACTATGGAATGATAGCTAACGTTAGCTCCCTGTTGTAACGTTAAGCTCTGTTGTTAGGCTTATTTGTCTGTTGTTAGGCTTATTTTTTGGTTGTTAAGGTTGTAGCATGGCTGTAAAGAAGGACGTGGTTATTTGTCTGTTGTTAGGCTTATTTTTTGGTTGTTAAGGTTGTAGCATGGCTGTAAAGAAGGACGTGGTATTATACAAGGTTGTATTATTGAGCTTATGTTTTTTTTTTTTTTGTTAAGATAATGGTCTGGTTATCAAGATTATGTATTGGTTGTCAAGGTTATGGATAGGTTACTAATGTTAGCGCTCCGTTGTCAAGCTTATGGATTGTTAGCTAATGTTAGTGCTCTCTTGTCAACTTTGCCTTTTAGTTGCCAAGTTGATCAAGAAAGCAGTTAGAGGGTTTCTATTTGTATTAAATGCTTCCATAATAGATTATGTTTCCAAGACAGCCAGTATTATCATCTGTCTCCCCGTTATTCCCAGCCACCATGCTTTAATTAACCCTCATCCCTTCCCCTGTATCCATGACAATACCTTTCGACGAAGCCATCAATCTTCCCATCACCGCCATTTTCTCCTCATCCCAGCCCCATTAACAACTACACGACCTTCATTTTGAAACCAGAATGATCATGTCTCACGATGATAGCGCGTGTATACATTGCCATGGCTCGGGGCATATCTCCCGGGATTGCCCTCATAGTCTTGTAGCAAACAGGGACCCACGATTTCTCCCCGTTCCAGATAACGTCGCCCGCAACATTCAGGAGCTTTCTACATTCGCTCTCCTCACTATTGAGGTGGGTCTGCCATCTTTGGACGAGCTCAGAGAGATGCTAGGGTATCGCTTTGACGTCTGGGATTGGACCTATGAGATCAAACGGGTATCTATAAATAGGTTCATGGTTAAATTCCCCTCTGATGAGCTACTAGATCAAGCCGTCGAGCTCTCTATAAATAGGTTCATGGTTAAATTCCCCTCTGATGAGCTACTAGATCAAGCCGTCGAGCTCAGTCCTATAAATCTTGGGTCCTTCGTAGGCAGATTCAGGCTTTGGTGGGAGGACCTCAGGCTAAGAGCATTGCCGTACCCCATGTTTAGGTGGGTCCGCCTCTTCAATCTCCCCTACCACCTCTGGGAGTGGGAGTTCCTCCAATCACTGTTCGAGGGCATCGGCCAATGCGTGTACTGCTCCGCTGACGTCACCACGAAGACAAACTTCAGAGACTGTAGGGTGCTGCTAGAGATTAGGGAATATTCGGATATCCCTAAGAGGATTAGGTTTCGTTACACCTCTCCCATGGACCGTTGTCTGATGGAAGGTTTCGTCGTCACTCAGCTTGTGGGTGGAGACCGTGAGCAGCAGACAAACAATGAGCAAGGTCCCATCGACATGTCCGTTGACCAACCTCAAAGCCAGCAACCGCAGCCTTCCCGCGTCGACCCGGAATTGATTGAAGTGTCTTGGAACGGCAGGCAAATGACGGTGGAGAAAGAGCTCTGGCAACGATTTCTCCGGGCCCAAGGTGTTGGGCCATCTACCCTTCCTCGTGATAGGGGTTCCTACCACGATCGCGCTTCAAGCAAGGGGAGCGGGGGAGGAGCAGTCGGCCCCTAGGTTATCATTAATTGTAAATCTATAAATATTTTGCTGAACTTGATGATGATACGCTCTATTAACTACCTATTAATATGTTTCTGCTAATATAGTGTGTTGTTAAGCTTTTGTGTTTGTTGATGAGTTTATGGTTTTGTTATTGAACTCATGGGTTTGTTGTTAATGTTATCCCTTGGGGATCTAGCATATCGTAAACTATTGGCGGGCAAATGCAGAAATCTTTTCGAATTTAGTTTGGTTGCATTTCAAGCACAAGTTAGCAGAATCTTGCGATGTTGTTAAGCTTTGCTATTTGTTGTTGAGGTTATGGTTTTGTTGTTGAACTCATGGGTTTGTTATTGTTAATGTTATCCCTTGATATCAACCTTATAATAGTTACTTGTATATTGCTATTAACAACAAAGAATTGTTATATATTATTCACAGAAATCTTTTCGAATTTAGTTTGGTTGCATTTGAAGTACAAGTTAGCAGAATCTTGCGATGTTGTTAAGCTTTGCTGTTTGTTATTGAGGTTACGGTTTTGTTGTTGAACTCATGGGTTTGTTGTTGTTAATGTTATCCCTTGATATCAACCTTATAATAGTTACTTGTATATTGCTATTAACAACAAAGAATTGTAATATATCATTCACAGAAATCTTTTCGAATTTAGTTTGGTTGCATTTGAAGCACAAGTTAGCAGAATCTTGCGATGATGTTAAGTTTTGCTGTTTGTTGTTGAGGTTACGGTTTTTTTGTTGAACTCATGGGTTTGTTGTTGTTAATGTTATCCCTTAATATCAACCTTATAATAGTTACTTGTATATTGCTATTAACAACAAAGAATTGTAATATATCATTCACAGGCAGAATCTTGCGATGTTGTTAAGCTTTGTTGTTTGTTGTTGAGGTTACGGTTTTGTTGTTGAACTCATAGGTTTGTTATTATTAATGTTATCCCTTGATATCAACCTTATAATAGTTACTTGTATATTGCTATTAACAACAAAGAATTGTAATATATCATTCACAGAAATCTTTTCGAATTTAGTTTGGTTGCATTTGAAGCACAAGTTAGCAGAATCTTGCGATGTTGTTAAGCTTTGCTGTTTGTTGTTGAGGTTACGGTTTTGTTGTTAAACTCATGGGTTTGTTGTTGTTAATGTTATCCCTTGATATCAACCTTATAATAGTTACTTGTATATTGCTATTAACAACAAAGAATTATAATATATCATTCACAGAAATCTTTTCGAATTTAGTTTGGTTGCATTTGAAGCACAAGTTAGCAGATTCTTGCGATGTTGTTAAGCTTTGCTGTTTGTTGTTGAGGTTACGGTTTTGTTGTTGAACTCATGGGTTTGTTGTTAATGTTATCCCTTGATATCAACCTTATAATAGTTACTTATATATTGTTTATATTTACCTTATAATATTTACATGTATATTGTTATTAACACCAAAGAATTGTAATATATCATTTACAAAAAATCTACATCTCAACGTCATCATCATCAAGTTTTCCCACCTCTTTTTTCCTCTTACTGCCTTCAATCAGTAAGTACGCTGCTAGCTTCACACGAACCACTCATGTGTTATGCTCTTCGGGGGTGACGTGCAGGACATCTCTACCTTCGGTAATCGCTTGTACGAACTGGTAGACATAGATCCCACAGTCAACATCTCTACCTTCGGTAATCGCTTGTACGAACTGGTAGACATAGATCCCACAGTCATACCTGCACACAAAAACAAGGAAGCATTGAGACCATTGTTGCTTTCAATCAAAACATAACAACAAATTCGTAACCTTAACAACCAGTTTCCAACAATGAATCAAATTCGTAACCTTAACAACCAGTTTCCAACAATGAATTCCAACAAGGGTTCCGGCAAACTTACGATCCGTTTTACTCCTCACATGGAACTTTGATTGGGTCGAATACGCTACGCAATTGGTTCTCATTGAAGCCAGCTTTAATGTAGTTGAAGGCTTTGACGATATTGAGCACAGGGTCCTAATGTCCAGATCTCTCCTTCAAGGAGTCGTAATGCCTGGCAATATCATTTTCGACATCAAACTCCAGAAGATGCCAATGATCGCCCTGGACAATGGGAACTAAGAGGTTAGTACACCCTTCATCGACCAAGCGTTTGATGTAGATATCATGCAGCTCTTGGTAATCTGGTTTCGGCACATGTATTTGGTCCTGCAATAAAGAAGTAACCCGATCAGGTTCCTTTTAACATAGATTATGTGCTGATAGTTAGGAGTACGCCACGCCAGACATAAACTTACACTAAACCAAACAGGGACCACCCCGAATTTTATACTGGACGGCGCTCTCTAATTTTCACGAACTAAATCAAGCAGCGTATCAACAAGCTATCATAAGTTGGCAACAAGTAATTAATAATAGTATTGTTAAATATGCTAATGAATAAATACCAATCGAAAATCTTACTGAATCATCCAGTCGCCCACCGCGTAATATATTGAGGATCTCAAGCCGGGTAATAGACCCTGCTGATCCCTCGTACACTTTAATAAAACTGCAAACAGGGAAAAAAACAAAAATAATAGTTAGCAACTAACAATTAGCAGCAAGAACAAATCAAAAACTATAACGAAAAACCCTTAACCTAAACAACAAATCAATAACCATAACAAAAAACCCGTAACCATAACAACAAACACGTAACCTTAACATCAAATACGTATCCTTAACAACTACCACATAACCTGCACAACAAATCAATAACTATAACAAAAAAACCCTTAACCTAAACAACAAATCAATAACCATAACAAAAAAACCCGTAACCATAACAACAAACCCGCAAACTAAACAACAAACGTAAATACTTGAGATGTGAGGTAAATACTTACTTGTTACATCTACAAATGCAAAAATGGTTAAGAGCTTTTTGCTCCTCTTCCGTCAGTAGCGCGGCAACGTCTGCTGACACCTTATAGTTATGTACAAATGTGTCCTTGTCGCCCAAAAACTTGATGATGAAGCCATCTGGAAAGGGAATCCCCTCGTTCAGCTTATCTCTGTACATTTCTTCTTCTGAACTCATAGGGGAACTCATGTGTTTTTCCCAGATAGAGTGGGGGTCACTTTGTAGCCGAGCAGGAGCCAACTCTGCATTGTTTTCCTGCACCTGCGCTTCCTCCTCCCCACCCACTTCTATTATTGTGTTTTCAAGGGCTTTGCATCTCTTCCGTTTAAGGAGTGCAGCAGCGGCCACCTTCCCGCGTGCCCCCGTTGCACCCCTCTTTCTCTTATTCAAAGCCCTTGAAAACACAATAGGAGCATCGTCGTCATCTGTTGATGTCTCTATTGCTGGTGGAGGGGCATTCTCTGATTGCTTTATTTCCATCCCAGTGTCCTCCCGCAGAGTGTCTGATTCCAAACAACCCATTCGAAGTATAAATATTAAGAAAACATAGCCCCTTCTATCTAAACTTAACAATTTCATAGTAAACCTAACAACTGATGCCTAAACATATGGTGAAAAAGTTGCTAACCTATACAAGTTTGCGTCTCCCCATCACCTGCAGAAGGGACTTCAACCGCCGGCGTTATTTCCCTTCCAGTGCCCTCGCGTTGAGTGCCTGTTTCTGATAATATTCAGAGTATAAACAATAAAAAGCTTAACAACCAATACGTAGACATAACAACCAATCTCTAATATATAGTACAAAAGCAAGCTAACCTGTACAAGTTAGTAGCTCCTTCGCTGGCGGGGACACCTTCTCTCCCTCGTTTATTTCTGCCTCAAGGGCCTTGTCAACAACAGATGCCTCTGGTGGAGGTAATTCTCCTGACGGAGCATCTTCACTCTCATTGTGGATATCAGAAAACAATGGTTGTGGAGAAGCCCTCCTTGTTGGAGGGGCCTCGCTCTCCTTATTAGCTTCATCAAATAATAATGATTTATTGACATCCCCCTCGTACTGTACATCAATGCCACCCACTGTGCCTGGAGTGTCTGATTCAAAAAATAAACACAAATGAGCTTAGGTACTTCATTGTCAAAAAAAACATAGCATCAGTTACATAACCTTAAAACTAACCAAGATACTTAACAATCAATCTCCAACCTTGGCAATAAATCACTGACCTTAACATTAGATACGTAAAGTTAACAATACTCTTAACCTTAACAATAAATCCCTAACCTTAATATTAGATCCGTAAAGTTAACAATACATTCTTAACCTTAACAATAAATCCATATACTTATCAATCAATTTTTAACCATAACACGCAAACGTAATTGCAAGCCACATCTAACCTGTACAAGTTTGCAGCTCCATCAATGGGCTGGACACCAATCCTGTAGGGCTCTTATCCTTGTATACAGAGAGGGTTCCGGATCGTGCTTCGCTTAGTTCCTCTCTCAGTCTTCTATTTTGAGCAGACAGCTTAGCCACCTTCACAGAAAGAGCACTTATCTTTACACGGTCTGCAGCAATCATACCCTTAAATTTATTCTCGTTCTCGCGACGTAATGATTCGTTCATTGCCGCGATGCTCTTCCAGTAGATAACTTGCTGAGGCCAATCCATTTGCTCAACTGCATCATTTGCCTGCTCGGCATCTTCATCAATATCCTGTGGCATCACATATGCAACGGACAGGTAGAGTACTATTAAAATGATTAATTAATTCAAAAACAAATAAAATCAACGATTGCTAAGTTCTTACAAGTGCATCAATTGGGATGTCGTCATCATTTGCCGGCGTCTACTGCAGCCGGACCCTTAATCCTCCTCTTCTCTCTCTCTCTCCTCTTCTCTTTCTCTATCCCCTGCTCCTTCCCCCCAAAACCTCCCTCAATTCTTTGAAGTTGTCCATGTTGCTGTGGAAGCTTTATCGTAGCTTTGCTTGCTTTCGCAACAATAGTGGCCAATCTCAAAGAACCAGCAACGTGCCCAAGTCTCACCCAATTTGTCAGGGGAGGCCTCACCGTACAACCAAGTGCTGGCTTCTTGATGCCGGTGAGTTCATAATACCACAACTGCACATTAGAGAAATAAAAACTTAACAAACACCTTCATCCGTAACAATTAATAAAGTAACCCTAACAATAAAAACGTAACATTAACAACCAAACCGTAATATTAACAACCAAACCGTAATATTAACAACCAAACCGTAACATTAACAACTAAACCCTAACCTTCACAAATTCCAAAAAAACATGATTACTTACACAAACTAGAGGGGTACACCCTTGCAGATATAATGTCGTCTTCCCTGGCTCAGGACCCTTCAGTGCCCTCTCTATCGCGTCAGATGTCTCACTGAATATATAGGTCCCCCAAGCAGTGTTGTTGACCTGTTCGATGCTGTCGACGTACTTGAATAAATGCCTAGGAACGCCGGAAACACTGCTTGGACACCAAATCATGCTCAGCTGATAGAGGATCTGTAGCAGGACAAAGTCCTTCACATCTCGGCGATCAGAAGATAGTACCAGCTTCAAGAGCAGGTCCTCCACATTGCGTCTGGTGGGGCCTCCTTTGGGGGGAGCTATACTGCTGGAACCCCCCGCCTCGGGTTTGTCAAAGAACCTGGACCAAATCCTATTTTTCCTGTCCCGATTGTGGTCAACATGAAGCCCCTCATTGGAGAACCATGTATGCTCCATTACCCACTCAAGGTTGAATGAGCATGGGATCTCTTCTCCATCATTCCTATCGGTGAAGACGAATTTTTTGCTCTTCTTGTCCCACTGACTCAAAATGTGCTCAAAGGTGGGAAGATCGACGCCAGGTGGGCAAATTGGACGTAGTGTCTGAATACACTATCTTCGTAGGCCGCAAAATTCCTTGGCCCCATACGCGTCACCAAATTCTGCATGAAGTCGTGATAGGCACCGAAGCTGGCGGTGGGCCGCAACGTAATAGCTGGCTTTGCCCTTTTTCTACAAAACAAAAACACAAGACGAGAGCATTTTTGAGTATAATCAGTAAACATAACAACTATGCTGTAAACTTTGCGGGTAAATCAACAACCTTAACAGCAACCCCATAACATTAACAACAAAAACCTAACCTTAACAACCAAAGCCTAACCTCAACAACTAAACAACAACCTTAACAATAAAGGCAGTAACCAACAACATTAACAACAACCCCACAACCTTATCAACCAAAACCTAACCTTAACAACCAAAGCCTAACCTCAACAACTAAACAACAACATCAGCAATAAAAGCATAGACCTTGCATGTTAACAGTAACCTCAACAGCTAACAGACACCGTACTTTTGGACCTTCCCACCAGACTAAGAGCATTATCAATCAAACCATAACCTTAACAACATAAAACTTGCGGTAAAAATTACCTTTTGGGTGCTGCCACGTGCTGCTCTTTTTCTCCTCTCTGTAGACCAAGGAGCGCTCTAGTGGCATCATTGGACGCGCCGGTGGTGCCGATGCTGCCCTCTAGACCTTCGCGGGGGCCTACACTTCTATTTTGAGGCCGGCTTCTGGGATGAGAATGGCTGGTTGCGATGTCCTCTAGAACATCGCCAATCGCAGCTCGAGCTTCAGATTCAGTCTGCACTACAGTTGTATGAGCTCTTTCTGAGATTTCGAACCGCTGGGCGTAATCGCTTTCGCTGTAGTCGGCATTGAGGTTGGCTTTGGGGGTTGAATCGCCGGCCATTTTGATCCCTTTGCTTTGATTCGGTTTGCGTTGGGGTCGGTTGATTTAGGGATAGGGTTTTGAATTGGGTTTCTGGAGTCGGTTTGCTTGCAGAAGAGAGAGATGACAGGGTACTGACGAGGAGGTAACTCATAATGGGGAATTTTAAACGTAAGGGTATTTTGGGCATTTCGAACGGGGTTTAAACGGCGTTACGCCTGGGGATTGGTTTTGGGGGCTGGAAGAAAATCGGGGGCGGTTTTGGGGGTAAAAGGAACGTTGAAAAGGTCTTGGGGGGGCAGAGCACGTTCTGTGTTGTTTTGGGGGCTGGAAGCAATTTTCCCTTTTTTTTAATTTCTCTTTCTTTCTCTATTCGTAAAGGGCTAGATTCTTTTGCCTCTGTTTGTTTTCCAAATTATCTTTTTATCCTTTAAAAGTTTAAAAAGAAGAGGAAGCATCAGAAGCATCAGTTTACAATTATTAATGTCTTTTCTCTATCTAAAGCCCTTCACTTCACTACAAATTAAGTTTTGCTCCAAAGAGCCGTCATGTTGCTTTATTTTTACCATTCCTTTTCAATGTAAAGAAGTTGCATCACTTCTACTCATTTACATACATTGTAATTTTTCATTTACATACATTGTAATTTTTACTTGGCTGCCTATCTCTAGCTCTCCTATGTTTTCTTGCCTTAAAAAAACTGTGGTCGGTGCAAGTTGTCTATAAACAATTAATGTTAGGGATACAAACTTTATTTTTCTTTTAACCTTATTTACTTGCGACAAACTTATATTTGGTTTAGTTATATTCATTTTCCTATTTTTGAGTAAGTAGCTGTAGTCGGCGCCTTTGTCATTATTATGCATTTATCTGCTAGTGATAATATAAGAGCTAGGGGATATGCATCTCAGCCTAATTTCCTAAATAAAGTAAAACAGTATAAAATGAAATATCCAATGTTCGTAGACCACTAAATCTAAACATTAGCTGCATAAAAAAGATGAAAGGAACGGAAAAATACAGAAAGTAGAAAATTATTAGCGATTCTTCTACCGTATATAGTTGGTACACTATAAAATAAGCAGCATCAATGGATCATTGTACTACTACCTGAATTATTATTTTTGAATTTTTAATTCAAGGATAGATTATCTATATTATCCTAATAAAAAAGAGTGTCACATTATTCTATATATCTTTCTCTGCCGAAGCAGCTATTATTTATTTATTTTCTAGCTTTCATGCTATTATCAATGACTAACTCATTTGTTATTAAGATAATTTATCTTGAAAAATAGATGCACGCTTATTTATTTTCATTATTTTTTAAAGTTGTCAATGATATAATGATATCAATGGCATTCACTTCAAACGAGTATATATTATTAGATCATAATTTTATCACAATACAACTTTAACAACATAATACTCTGAAGTTGGTTGTATTGAAAGTCACCCACCAGTGGCTCATATTGAGCTACAAATTATCAGACATCTCTGTTGACTACAGAGTCTGAACACACCGATGGGGCCCACATGATTTGGACGCGTTTTCGAGTCTAGTTTGGATTCAGATTGGGGAGTTGTTTGGCTAGTTGGACTCTTAGTTGGATTCGGATTGGGGAGTTGTTTGGCTAGTTGGACTTTTAGTTGGATTCGGATTGGGGAGTTGTTTGGCTAGTTGGACTTGAATTTGAGGAAAGCTATGAATAAAGATTGTTTAGGGTTTCTCTATGTATCTTTGACAAGAAAAATTGATATTTGTTTTGGCTTTGTAAGGGAGAGAGATTAGAGTTTCTAATCTTCTCCGTCTTCGTTGTAACCTCTTGATAAATAGTGGATTGTCGATCTCACCGGTTGTGGATGTAGGCATCTTACTGAACCACGACTAATCATTGTATTTTCTTTTTGAGATGGTTGCACATCCGTGTTTGTCTCTACAAATACAACTTTCTTTTTTCCTGTCTTTAGTCACAAGTGTCCCCACCCCACATTAGAGATGAGACTAATCATGTTCGGGGCTAGGGTGACTATCCCTCCCAACAAATGCCGCTTCTAGGTTTCGAACTTTTGCCAACAGAGCACCAGCTTGCCTACCACTGGGTCAACAACTTGTTGGTAATAATACCAAGTTCCTTGCATCCCATGAATAACTATTAGTTTTGATATATCAAGTATCATTAAAGTAAAAAGACCAGATTTGTTGATACTTTTACATTGCAGTAATAAATTAACCTAATAAAGTTTGATAATTGGTGACTTCAGGAGTATTTTTCACAAAATTTACGATATGCGTACAGCATGATAAATATCGATTAGCTCAACAAAACAGTAGGATACGTTCTAGAAAATGAGAGGATCAAAAACACATGGATGGTTTCTTGTGGCGAGGAGCAAAGCCCATGAAGAGAAAGGTGAGCCCAAGATAATTTATGAACATAATAAACAAATTCAGGATGCCTAAGCTAGAAGCACATGGGTTCACATGGCCAACATGGGAAAGAGGAGGAGAGCTTTGCCTCTACTCTCTCTATCTTTGATTCTATATAATACATGAGTTATTTGCTTACATAGCACTTATATCATGAGTGTTTACAAAACTATCCTCTAAATCTCAGTGTTTGTAAACTTACCTTTCAAATCATCGTCTTTGAAAAAAAAAAATCCTAAAATTAACAAATCAACTTAATAAGTAAAATTTTGATTATTTTTTTGATAATATTTGCAATAGAGTTACAAATTAACCTACCAAAGTTGATGATCGATTGATTTGAGGATATTTTTTCCCTAAACCTGATGATATGAGGGGCAGTTTTGCAAAAAGTGTGATTGGGAGTAGGGCTGAGCATGGTTCGGTCCAAACCGAAAAACCGACCGAACCGGCCCGATTCGACCCGGAAAAATCGGTTTTATGAGTAGGGCGGTTCGGGTCGGTTTGAAAAATTTTCAACCTGAACCGACCGAATATAGTGCAATACTACCCATTCTGATCTCAAACCCTACCCGACCCGTCCCCAAAGAGTCAAAGACTCAAACCCTAAACTCATTTTCTGAATCATTATGGGTTGAAAACAATATCATTATATCAGTGTTTAATGTTTCATAATCTCCTACTTTGTTGATATCTTTTTTTCTTTAACACAATTTGTTGTTTGATAAGAAGTTTGATGAAGTTAGAACCGAACAAACCGAACCGAACCGTACTGAACCGACTTGCAACAGTTCGGTTCGGTTTTGAATTATAAGCGGTTCGGTTCGGTTGTTCAAATTTTGGTAAAAACCGAACCGAACCGACCGTTGCACACCCCTAATTGGGAGGGTGGTTTTACAAATACCCATGAAGTAAAGGGTACGTATATGCGAAAAATCTTGATTCTAGACAGTTGGACCGTAGGTGTAGCTTTAATTTCTGTCGTCTAATTCACAGTCTGTATCTTGTACTGTAAAGCTGAACATGTAGAGTTCAGTGGGCCAAGTTGTGGGCAAACAGCGTCCAGCGGCACATTGGATCAATATAGTGAAATTTGTGGGCTTTTGGTGATCGGGTGAGCTAGCCCTCAACTTGCGAGGATCGAGACATTCGGTCCGGATACGGCTCAGATATGATGCTTATCATATCCATATTCGTTTACTCATCTCGGATACGAATACGAATACGGATATACCTCGGTAAGAAAAATTTATAACCATATCCGCTAAAATCGGATACGGTTACAGATATACATGCGATATATAAGCGGATATGCATGCAGATACAAAATAGATACGAGAAAACTAGATAGTATTGAGAAAAACATAGTTCATGTGATACAAAAGAGTTTGTTAATATGTCCATTATAATTGAAAAGTTAAGATTAGACATCTTGATCATCAAAATTAACCACAAATTCATACTCTAAGAATCGAAACTATCTTAAGAGTATGACTAATATGTATTCGGATATTTCGGATACAGATACGGATATTTCACTACAAAATCATATCTGTAACTAGGGGTGTCCAAAAAGCCCGGAGCCCGGGCCCAGCCCGGGCCCGGAAACCCGGGCAAAACCCGGGTCTGGGCCCGGGCCCGGGTCGCCGTTGACGAGCCCTGTCCGGGCCCGGCCTGGGCCCGGAACAGT